GCCACTATCAGAATACTGTTCATTCTCGCATATATATATATATATTATGTTTCACACAGGCATTTGCTGTTATGCCGTGTAACTCTTGGCAAATCATTCCTGCAATTCAGTGCAATGAAAATGGCCCATGCACCTCCCGGGCATCATTCGGTTATGGGACGTCCCTCGGCGGGCGGCCTCAACTACCCCGAATACGTCGTCTATCGCGGAGAACAGGCCTATCCCGAGTACTTCGTCACATATCAGATCGTTAAGCCCGAGGACTGTTCGGGTAGCGATGTAGATTCGGAAAGCAGGTGATTCCCCGATCCAAGAGACCGCTGGACGCCGTTATTGTTGCTCGTGCGACCTCGACGATGCGCGGAACAAGTGAGGGACGCGGTGGCCGCGTGGCTACGATGCCTCGCGGTCCCCGCGATGGCTAAAAACAAGTCTCAAAGCACCGGACGGGTACCGCTTGACACGAGTAACGCCACCTTGTGACTGACTACCAACTACACTACTTTATAAGGTAATACCTCCAAATCAATCTGTTTTTTTTGCGTGTGTAAGGCTTATACAGGGTATTCCACGAGGAGGACATTCATATTTATAATTTTCTTGACCCTTTGATAATGTCATCATGGAGGGGCACCCTGTACAATGTTAATATAATTTATACCATTCGGCAAATATGAAGTGTTTTTGTTATACTTTTAATGAGTAATTTGTATACTGGTTTTTATTTTACGGTCCCATACCTACATCTTTTAATTATTATTTGCTTTTTATGCATAATTAAATTATTTTTTCTTGTTTTGTTACGTTTTTAAAAGCAAAAGTTCAAGCCTTACAATTAAAAAATGCGACATGGTGACCACAGCAGTAAACAATATGATACTAAAAGTGAAGAAATGATGATTCATTTACTCATTCATTTATGAAGAATGTGTGCACTGAGTTGGGTAGTTCCTTTGAATTATTATAAAACGTCATTATATTATTTGTTAAAAGTTGTGTTCAAGTGCGATGTGAATTTTTTATTTTGTTTGAAAGTATTATTTTAAATTTTTAAAATCTCCTTTTGACTTTTAAATGACTGCTTAATTATAATCACATATTATATAAAAAGTACTGCTATATAATGTATACAATAGATCACATACGTTTGAATGTTGTAGTGTTTACAGATTGCCATACAGGGTGGTTATAAGTAAACTAAGTTTCTGAATTTACACTGAAAATTTCTGATTATATTTTTAAACTTTAATAGGATCAATATTGAACGTTTTCTTTCTTTGTACAATAATGTTTAGCTATTTTGATAGAAAAAGTTTAAACTGTTCCTGAACTGATATTAACAAAATATTAATATTTTTTATTCTCAACTGGACGGTCACGTACTGAGTGCCACTTTTTCTCTCACTCTCTAAAAACCAAATGTCTTCAATAGGTATTTTCAAAAATTTTGCTATTTTGATAATATGTACAATGTACATATTTTATATTTATTGCGAGGGCACGTTTATCACCTTATTGTTCTTATTAATTTATTAATTATCATCCTTAATGAATTTTCAAGAAAAAAAGCGATTTTTAACTTAATTATTAAAAAAGGAAACCTAAAAATTTCAAAAATACACTATACAGCCTTTCCTTTTTAAATTAATTAGAAGAGTAATTTTGGAAACAATACTTAGTCTGAAAATGTAACAGATTTATTTTTAAAACTGCATTTTATAAAAGAAAAAAAAACCTCGAACCACTTGAAATAGCATCGAAAGATTATATCTAACTGATTGTGAGAGGTGGCAATAAGAATAAGGAAGTAAGAAAGAAGAAAGTAAGTGAAAAAAGAACAGACCAACAAACAAATCTATTTTCATTCGTCTGTAAAGTTCAGGATCATCATTTGTTTTTCGAACGTTTATGATAACCTCTACACCTTGAGCACTAGGAAGAAAATAGGTACTTCCGGTAGGTGCATTTCCGGTTGGTTGACAATGTACGTATATGTATATACATATTTCATGTAAACGATGGCACGTCTCGTTATTTCGTTTACTTATTTATTATTATTTATTTATTACCTGCCGCTGTAATCCGAGCAAAAAATACTCGGCGGATTTATAGATGAATTGGACGCGATGCGTGGCAGGTCCATGCTGCCGCCGGTCAACGGAGCACAGCATCATCCCGATGACGCTCGGCGTCGCGAAAACCACGACAACCAGACTGACGCATAGCGCCGCGACGTGCAACGAACGGAGCGGACTTAGTGCCTAAATTCTGCGAGTCGTCGGTCGATAACGTTTGTGGAGATCGCGCGCCACGAAAGCAACGAAACACCCTCAACCCCATCACCTGCCTTGTCTCCCTCCTTCACCATCTTTTCTTCAGTTCACTCCCCCTTCTTTTATTATTTTTTTTTTTTCAAATTTCATCAAAAGGTTTTTGAACGACAAATGTACAGAGTGGTGTCACGTATAACTGAAGGTTATTCACTCCCGCCACCACCATCAAAGACTGATCGATAAGTTTTTGAGGGGTGGAGGGTTGATGAAATTTTCTTTGTTTTTCAAATTTGTATCGATANATAGGAAAAAAATGCGTTATATTTTATAAATTACAATGAAAATTGCATAAAGAAATATACACTTATACATACATGTAGGTTGTGTATAACAAAGAACTTTGTACCTATCCTGGCTATTAAATTGTGTTCAGTAAATTTTTTAATCATATATTTGATCTGACATCTAATATTTAATAAATATATTTTCATTAAATTAAATATGATATTATTTCGCTTTTAAGCTTGTCTAGAACTATTTGGTAACTTTCAAACAAGAGAATCTTTTTTAAATTACATACATATAACAAGGACTTTAATTTTAACTAAAAAATTAACTAATATTTTTTGTATTTTATGCCCATATGTATATGTCGCTTACTTATTCTGTCATCCTCTGTGTGTACTCCTAAAACTTAGAAAACTGTTGTATATTACTTATTTACGGATCACAACACCATTTTTTCCAGTTCAAGTTCATAAATGTTTAGCAGCAAGAGACAGCAATAAAAAAATATCTGCTTATTCATAAAATCAGTCAAGTTTCACGGTTCTTTTTTCGGCAATTCATCGCTAAGTTCAGTTTTCGAATAAGGTGAAGAAGTTACAGTATTCGAAATATCAGTATTTGTAATAGAAACGTAAGGGGTAGACGCCTCCATATCTCGCAAATTTTCGACATTAGGGTAAAGCGTCTGTAAGTCACTTACTGCTACCGTATTTCTTGTTTGAGTATCACCACTGGTACTGGCGTTCCCGTTTATTCTCAGTAGTAATCTCTTATCTGCAATCATAGCTTTTCCAGTACCCTTGGCTGTGTTTTTAACCAGTCCTTTTGGCGTAAAGTTTTTAGAATTTGAGTATACGTTCCAAACATTACCACCCGCACCTAAGGTGTTACTTGCTAAATTTCCTGCTGGACTACCATATCTTTTAATCATAGAAAAAGGAAATTTATTACTATAATTTTTATATAAACTTTCCAGGTACCAATTGCATTTTTTTCACACTTAATTAATACTTACTTATGTTCCACCACTTTAACAGTGTTATTGGATAAGTTTCTGCCCAAAATAGAAGCTGATGTTTCTAATCCCCGATAAACCGTTGAGAATCCTTCAACGGCTCCTGCGGCCACTGTCAGAATACTGTTCATTCTCGCATTAGCTTCTTCATCGGTCATTTTGAATCCAGTTTTCAGCAATTTAGAGCCTTGACTTTGAACATGCGGAGCCAAATAATGTCCCAGAGCCATAGTTGCTAAGCCTACTTTCTCAGCTAATAATGAATAGATGTTAGTTAACTCTAAATATATAAAAACCTATTTTTTACCTATGTATCCAGTCACTGAAGCAGCTGTACCTGTAGCACTGTGTGCTATTTCTGCAGTTTTACTAACACTTTTTGGTATAGAAGCTGACTGATCAGCTGGTGTAATTTTCTGTATTAATTGAGGAGTTTTTTGGTTTAAATAATCGCTTGCCTTTTGAGCCCCCTTTACCAAACCTTCTGACAAATATGCAGCCCCTGTAATAGATAATAAGTAAAATTTTAAACTTAATTACAACTAAGAGACACTGAAATGGCCATTGCGAGGATACACATACCTATGTATATTCACATTTTTTTTGTCTTCCAAACACTAGCTTTCGAATTGTATGTTTATGAAAACCAGATGTTACAATTACAAGAGTAAATTATCACAAATATGTTAAAACTTGATTCAACTTGAGATAAATTCACTATATTTTCCACCATCTAACAGGTTTCTCAGCATCTCCTTACATTAAAAAAAAAAAATAAAAAAGTTTATACATTACCAGTTACAATTTTCTCTGAAATTCGTTCACTTATATCTTTGCGAATTCGCTGTAGGGTTGGAGTTTGTCCTATTAAACCATGCAAAATACTTTCTAAAAGTTCATATGCAGAAGGATCTGCTTCTTGGGGTAAAATAAGACCGACAGAAGATCCTTGAATATAATTATGGTTTCATTAAAAGATACTGCATTCAAGTACCAATTTTGCGTTTATTACCGGGAATTTCTGTTTCTGTATCAGGAAATATAAATGCTCCATAATCGGTACGATAACAAACAGTCACTCCAGGCACCAATGGGTAAACCCAACCACCTACTTGTAGGAAGTACTTTGATGGTTCGTTTTCTTTTTTGCCTAATTTTTAAAATATACTCATTATTAACTCTTTTTACAAAAAATACAAAAAGATAGCTCTTGTTTTCACTAAGAACTGTAAATGAAAACTACACAAAAGAACATTGTATGCTGTTTTTCCATTGACTATTGAAAACAAAAATGCTTACTCTCCACTAAACCAATTATCATTTGCTGTGGTTGAGATGTTTGACAAACGGTTCCATCAGGAGATATAAAATACAACTTTACATTATCATAAGAATATATCACTTCTGTGGCTTCTGCACTTTGTATGTCATTAGCCAAATTGTGAGCTGCTGAAGTTATTTCCTGATACATCTGTGTTGGTTGCGTTTCTGGCCCAACCACATCATCATACAAAGGTGGAGGCTCATGCTGCATGAAGCCAGGTGCTGATTGAATACATTGAATTCTAGTCAAAACTTCTCCCCGTGTTCTTTTCATTTTTTGAATCATTCGACATGCCTGTTCCCATCTAAAATCTGCTGATTCTGGCATTGTTACTTGCACACTTAAGGCCCCATCGATTATATTTACCCCTTCTTTGTACTTCTCTATTGCCTAGAAGATTAAAAAACACAAACATCAATAATTTAATTCTTCAGAAAATAAAATACATACGTACCTCATTTGGCTTTTCTTGTTCTTCTAAAGAAATTGCTTCTTCTATTATATGATAAGCTTTATCATGACTAGCTTTTATTGTATTAAATGTTTCTATCCACTCTGAAGAACTGGATGAATTCCCCATTTTTTGAGGCTTAATTCCAGATTGCCTTTATTTTTCAATATTTCCTTCGCCTAATGAGTTCAAAGGTCTAAGTAACCGTTTTGATGGTAGTGATGTGAACGATAAGTCGCTTAAATTATTAATTGTGCACAACTAATTAACGTCCTATTGATATTAAAAAATGAAAAGTAACAATTTTGTTAATGATATAATATTTACCTTTAAATTAAAATATAATTAAAATAATATCTGCCTTCATGGATAAGTTATGTACCTTGGTATTGTAAATGTTCAGATTCAGAAATGTTAGGTTAGGTCATAGATAATAGAATGGATATGTTTAATTATTTAGGATCATATGGCTGCGGTCTTCTCTGCTGCGGTAGGGAAAGGCAACACTCATGAGGTGGTGAGATCTATGGGTGAGTGATTACGTCTTTCCTTTTGTTTACAGGGATTTAGACTTTAATACTGTTTGAAGATATTATTAAAATATAATAACAAATAGGCAAATTTAAGTAAAATAATTGCTATGATAATTGCGTATTTCATGAAATCTACATATCCATTACTTATTTCTTCGTGATTTGGATAATCGCCTTGTGAGCGTTGTGATCATGTTGTGAGCTTCGATGCTTTGCTGTTATATTTATGTCTGTGGTATTTTTAATAATAATAATGTGACAAGATAATGTTATTAAACGAACGACCTTTACTAATCATCTATCTCAATCTATCTCATTCTCTTTCCAATATTATTGAAATAAGTTGAAATGAGATAAATTATCTGCGAAGCCTGGCGTTTAAAAGGCTAAATACAGTAAAATACGTTACTTTTAAATAAACGTTTTTATTTTATTGTGAAACAGTTTGTGTTCCAAAACTTTTAATAAAAATATATTAACAGACGAAAAGTACATTATGTACCTATATCAACAAAGAACAAAAGTATCTTAATAACCTTACTTTTATGTTGCAAGTTAAATAATCAGCAGTGAAAATAATAATTAACTATTATAATTTTTGTTTATAAATATAGAATTTGTTGAAAACGGGTGTCTGCCATGTCCAGTCATTATTTTGACAATAATGTATATGCAGAAAATAATGAACTCGAATCTACAATTTTGATAGAAGGAATTGTTTGGGAACAACGGAATTCTCAGGAAGAGGCAGCAATGAATGTGAATGAAGGTAATAAGAGCATCCTGGAAGACAGTCGAAATGAGACTTTTCTGTCTGTAAATGAAGCGGGCAATACTACAGAATACTTTTCCGTACTAGAAATGACTGATGATAGTGTCATGAATGATTTGAATTTAACAGCAGTTAATCCAACTGTTGTTGATGAAAGCAGTTTTTGTCAAAATGTATGTGAAGATGAAGAAGCAACTGAGCAATCAAATATTTTGCAACCCATTTTATACGAAATTGAGGGGTCTGATGAGTACTTAGCTGTTCAAGTCACTTGTGATGAGGAAGGAATAATGAGAAGGATACAGTATAGAATGAGGTTTGTTCTTTTTTTCAATAATGTGCTGTTATATTATTTATTTACTTGAAACTATTTCAAGTACAGTAATAAATATATTATTAACTAAATATATTCTGTAGAAATGTAAAACTGAAATTGGAGCAGATTTAAAATATATTCCATATGATTGCAGTATTTATAAAGTTATATTTTTTTCTGGGGTGGTGTTTACAGTTTGCAACTGTAACAAAGTTAAATTTTTACTAATCATAATTTGTAAGGTAGCAGATAAATTCAGGAAAATAATATTCAGATGTATAGTATGCTTTAATTTGCAGACAAAATGAAAATGGCGATTTGGAACCAATAGTTGGGACAACAGAAATATTGCCAATTGATGAAGACATTAATTTAGACGACTTGCAAGAAAACATACTTGAAAATGAAAAAATTGGCAAACAGGAACAAGTAGAAGAAGAAGACGATTATAATGATTTTAAAGAAGTTCAACACAATTCCATAGAACGGAACCCTTTAGACCCACAGTTAAAAATAAAAATGGAAGATCATACAGATGGTACAATTCCTGACTTTCCTAATAATAGTGAAGTAGATCCCTTTCAAAATGATAAAATTAATTCACAAGAAAAACAATCGGTTTCTGTGATAGGCAAGTATTTACTTCTATATTATGTATTTATTGTTTATATCCCAATTAAATATTTAAAAATTTAATTGTATTTTGCAGAATCAGTTTCTAATAAACAAGATTGGATAAAAAACGAAATATTGCAAGAATCATCCACGGACTCCGATTTCACATTGGATTTGGACGGTCTTGAAGATAGTTACGTGAATGTTATGGATTCCATGGAGTGTCCAAATGTTCAAAACGACGGTCCACCTTCAGAGCTCTTTTCAGACCCGACCGTCAATGACAACATAACAGAAAACGAAACAAATTTAACCGAACATAATTTAGCATTGACTTATTCTAATTCTAAAGACCCTGATTTATATACACATCTCAATTCTGAAGTCATAATCACTCGCGTCCGCCAAGGTATACGTAATTTTATGGAAAGTCCTGATAATTCTGATGACGGGCTCTCGTCAGACGGTGAGAATGCGGAAAATACCGAAAATTCCCCTAAAATATTAAAAAACAACGTGAAATCTTCCGAAGACAACGCTAGTTCCAGTGAATCAGATATGGGTGAATATCACCTCACTGAGACTGTCGAAAATGACGTCACAACATCAAAAGTGTTGGAAAAGACGAACCTATTTCAAGTTAACAACAATACCAACAGCATAAAAGTATTTAAATCTCCACAGCAGCAACAACAACAGAGCATTTTAATGGATAAAACAATGAACAGTAAATCAAATGGTGATCTCAAAACGAGCAAGAATCAGGTATATTACGTACTAAAACACCCTGAAAAAGAAAACGTGGCAATACCTCGCGTTAATACAAACAAAACATATAAAGTCAATCCTAGAAGTATATTAAAGACGTCCTTTGTTCAATTGGAACATCAACATCAAAATGAGACAAAAAGCGAGATTATTAAACAAGAAAACAAAAACTCCACGAATATTCCAATTGAAAAGATCGACAAGAGGTTTGCAAGAAACAAAGAAATTATGCAAGCAATCCTGTTCCAAAATTACATTGCTAAAACTACTATCCCTCATGCACCTGTGAGGCAAGGACGAATGCCAAGGAAGCAAAAAATCAAACCTGTTGAACGTGCTGACGAAGAAATCATAGTCAAAGAAGTTGCCGTTTCGTCTGAGGGTTTCGTGGAAATCCCCGAAGAAAACCTACTCCCAAAAGCCAACGTTGAAATCGTTCAGTTATCAGATTCAGAAAACGATTTAGATTCGAAACAACATGAACATGGAATCCGCCAATCGAGAAGGTACAAGTCAGATGTTTCAGAAATTATAATAAGCGATAGTGAGGATGAATGTGGTGAGACAGTCAAAATTGTCCAAATAGACCTTTCCGCAGATTCAGACGAAGATGACAATAATCGGTCCGATTTTAAAGAAAAAAATACAAAAAAAACACGAGGAAGACCAAGAAAGAACGCCCAAAAAGCAGAAACGGTAAGTAATATTTCTATTTTGAAGAGGAAGCGCGGCAGACCACCAAAGAAAAAGCCAATCACGGACGAAGAAAGAAATAACGAATCAGTTTCTTCTCCGAAAAAGCAGCGAACTGACGAAAGCGAGAATACCAGAAGTATTAGCGATGACACCTCTTCATCAAAATTAGACAGCAGTGAAGAAAAGGCCGAAAACCATTGCCCCAAGTGTTCCAAATCCTTCCCTAGCAAATCAAGCTTGAAAACACATTTACAATATCATACGTTCCAAGAAGCGAGTGCCAGAAGAACTAATATGCGTTTAACAAGCTCAATTCCAACACCGTCGGAAAGGTATCAGTGCCACAAGTGCGGAGAGATATTCAAGAACAACGCTCTTCTGAACAAACATGAGAAGCTTCACAACTCGAATTCTCTAGAATGTCACGTGTGCCACAAAGTTTTCACCGAACTCGCTCAACTGAGCACCCACAAGCGATCTCACGTCAAAGAGCAAATGTTTAAAGCTACTGTACCTCCAAAGATTTCCCCGAAACCATGCAAATCATCGAAAGTCTTCAAAACACCACCTCCGCTCAAATGTCCTGTATGCATGAAAACGTTTGCCAACGTGTTGACTCTTAATACGCACAAAAACAACTTCCATCGGCAGTTTTCGTGTAGGACGTGCACGAAACATTTCTATTCTAAGGTTGCATGGGAATCACACGTTAAGAACAGCTGTGTGAAACCGAAATCACCCGAGAAACGTCGACTGTCTCTCAATGTGAGAAAATCATTTGTTGTACCTCCGCAACCTCAGAGGGCGTCGCGACGACTGTCAGTCAAGGGACGACGTAAAAGTAACGGTAAACAGCAACCCCAATCGTGTGTCAATCCTGATCTTAACGCGACAGAGAGGACGAGAACGCCAGCAGGGGTAGTTAAAGCCCCATGTAACATGTGCGAGGTTGTTTGTTTATCGTTTAAACATTTGTTCCAACATAAGGTGACCAAACACGGACTCGAAACTCCGGACAAGAGCGTTATTGAGAACCCAGTTAAAAAAACTCTCTTCAAAGACAGAGCTGATCAAGGTGGCGTGCCGGTTACAACGAGAATCGGCAACGCGTGGGCGGGTCTTAAGAATAAAATAGACTGACGCATACGCATTTCGCTGGAATGCGAGATAAAGAACTAATAGACTAATAGACTTAACAAGTGAGTAGTAGTAACGTGTAATTACTTATAAGTGTGTGTGAATGTGTGTGTATAAGACAGAGAGCGTTGTGATATGGGGAATGCTTTAAACAAAACAAATGCAGATTTTTGTATATTNTTTAGGTGTGAATTAAATCACCTAATTATATGTGTTATCCTACAATATTACAAAAGAAAACAGTTCCCTTAAGTTCCTCTTATTAGAATGACAAATTGTCTTAATAATCAATTGCAAATATCGCGCTTATTTTCAAACAATCTAAACATTTACAAAAAGAATCGTAATGGGTTTATTAAATCTTTTTCTAGTTTCGATTCAAGGGTGTTGAATGAAGATGAAAAGAAAATACTTATGAAGGTCTATGAGGAGTTAAATTCATTTCTTAAAACGAAGCCTGATTCATTAAGAAAGCAACAGATGGCTCAGCACTTTTTTAAGAATTTCTGTTCTCCATCTGGAGACTCGTAAGTACAATTAATAAAATATATTAAGTTTGTAGTTACCTAAACAGATGGAGACTCGTAAGTACAATTAATAAAATATATTAAGTGATACCTAATATGATAAACCATTATTATTATCAGACTGATGCTGTATCACCTTATAATCGTTAAGTAAAATGAAAATTATTTCTTATATAACAGATATAAAATGAAAAAGTTTGCAATAAACATTTTTTCTTGCCACCGTATCAAATTTGTAACAACTTCCCGTATTCTGTTACAAAAAAAGAGAATTATGCACAAAGCGACGTGTACTATGTAGCTATATTAACTTTATTCACTGTAAAATATTGTACTTTAGGAAATAAAAAACAATATGTTTTATTTACTTTTAACTGTCTTTACCTCAATTTGTTGAATGTGATTTCACTTTTTACTTTATTCACATATTATTGTGTACGGTTGGGTGTATGGGTGCTTACGTGTTTGCGCAAATGTGTTTAAACTTGGTGGATGTTCTTGTTTACTGACTGTCCGAAAAATATGACTCTCAAAAAGGAAAGGAGCTAGCTATCTCAACTGCATTACACATATAATTTTATAACAAACTAAATGGAATAAACTTTAAATTGAAACTTGCCACTTACTGTATATGGTTTCTAAAGCATTACATATGTATGGAGTTGTCAATAGAAGTTATATACAAAAATTGGTAATAAAGAAGCATAATGATCAGTTATTGCTGTACATTTACAATTGAATATAATAATTCATTAAATTTTCAGAAAACGTAACACCGCAGAAGCATCTTTAAAATTGCATGTTGTTTTCTCGTAATATCCTTTTCTAAACAGGATAATATTCTATTAAAGTAAAAATAAGGTTTAAGGTTTGTTCTGGATCGGTTGTTGGACTATCACAGAATGTGAGCCGGATGTTACAGTTATTATTTCCGCTAAGACTGTCCCTCTTCTTGGCAGTTACATTTTCCCACAACAATCCACCTCCAGTAGTATATGCACCGCTCCAAGTACTAATTACTTCATAAATATTGCGTTTAATAGTACTTTTTAAGTATAAAAATTTGGAAAATTGAACGTTAATAACAATAACCAGATTCATTTTTTAATTTGCCACTCCAATGAAAATGTTATGAGTTCAAACATATTATGTACATATATTTTTATGTAGTTGAAACGNCTTATGAAGGTCTATGAGGAGTTAAATTCATTTCTTAAAACGAAGCCTGATTCATTAAGAAAGCAACAGATGGCTCAGCACTTTTTTAAGAATTTCTGTTCTCCATCTGGAGACTCGTAAGTACAATTAATAAAATATATTAAGTTTGTAGTTACCTAAAATACGGTGAGTCATTTGTGTGCCATATTGGTCTGTCTTAATTGTATAAATTTATTCCATTTTGAGAAATTTCAAACTCTAATGGTTTCGTTTTATCTAGTCTGGCATATATATCTAATCGCTAAACAACGAACTATATATACCTATACATATAAAGCGAGCAAGTGAATAATGTATCATTCTTCCAGTTAATATAACTGGGAAAGTACCAAATAGTTCAATTTCTATAAACAAATATCGTAAAGACTAGTTTTAACAAAAAAGTATATACTCCCAACTGAAATGAACTCAGAATATTTGGTAATTCTATTTTTATTTATTAAAAACTAGAATATTCTAAAGAGGAATGTTAAAATAGTTTTTCCTAGACAGATCGCGTTTTAATTGAAATCGAAATTTTACAGTAGTATATATAGATAAAATAAAATAGTGATTTCGTAAAAATTATTTTATAAATTGATAATACACATATATATTTTATACTATATTATTCAAAAAATAGTAAAATTATAATAAAATTTGCATCATTAGAATTTAATCATTCGGGGATTTTTCACTTCCTTCTGTTATTCACCCGTTTTAGCCGTCATTTCCACAAATCAGTGGATCAGATGATTATTACTAGTGCAACCCATTGTACGCATTAGATGTACCTTGTCAAGAATTATCTTTTATTCATTGTATTTCGTACTAAATAAATAAAGTTTATTAGCTAACGTGAGTAATTACATCGATGGTCAAAACACTTTGCATGTAAGTTCAGATAAGGAAAGGGGATTCCTGAAAACGGGGAAAAACCGTCTCCAAACAGTTCTGATGAATGACGTAAATTTCTGCTACAAACAAGGTTAGAAGTTGAAAGTGCTTGGAAATTTATTTCATCATGACTTCATCAGTTGTGTCTTGTAGTCTTCCAAGTTGTGTTCTATTATCAAAGACGTTCGTGTTTACAAAAATCATTTATTTGGAAGCATTTTGATATAATAATATATTTAATAACAGTGTAGTGTTAAATTAATTACCATGGCCTTTATGAATTTTAGTGAAACTAGAACAAGACTATTCAATTTAGATGAGAATAAGTTCGGTGCGTTTTTTTTTTATTTTTATACTTGTTCTCAAATAGATTTGGTATTGTGCTTTTAAGTTGCAGAGTATTGTGAATTTTTCAGTTTATTAAATAATCATTTTTTCCACAGAGGACTTTGCAGAAATGAATTCCTATCCAAGTTTATTAACACCACCTTCAGATTCTCCTGAAAGAAGTCATGCTTTTTCTCCTCCGTTAAATGCAGGACAAAATGTTTATGCACATCATCAGGAAAGTGGCATGCAATATGAAACAGAAAGTATGAAGAAATATTATGCCTCAGGTAAGCATATTAAAGTTATTTACTATAGTACATAATAAAATAGAACAAGAAAAATGATATGTTAAATACAAACAGGAAACATCTATTTATTTATTTAATGGGAAATACACTTGGCAATTATACACGTGAAGAAAACAATTTAAAGGCAAATCTACATTTTATACTTAGTCTCCCACAGTTAATAATCATATTGAATCACGCGCTTTATTTTTTAGTCATTCATTGATTATAACATGTTAATTTCAGATACAGCACATTTAAAAATATTAGAGCAACCCATAGAAAAGTTTAGGTTTCGATACAAATCAGAAATGGCAGGGACTCATGGCTCTTTAACTGGGCGAAGTGCAGATCGAAACCGTAAACAAACCTTTCCTACAGTACAGGTGAGCACTGTTGATAATTATATACTATCAAGTATCACATATCAATGCACATTTCCATTTTTAATTTACTTTATCAATGTTTATTATCCCAGATAATAACTATTACCTGACAAATTGTATCTTTTTTTTTTGTGGCGTAAGGCGGGCTTCGAACTCTTATCGGGAGACGGATGGCATCTGCTGTCTGTTTGCGTTTTCTTAAGAGAAAAGTTAGACCTCAGTTTTTGTTAATGTTAAATTATGGTGTTTATAATGAAAAAACTAACTAGTAAAAACTTTAAAGAAATTTATTATAGGATTGTTTTATATGTTACGCTAAATTATAGCTTTTTCAGGCTAAGATTATATGCAGCAATCCTATAATAAATTTCTTAAAACTTTTTACTATAGTTAGTTTTTTCATTATGAATAAGTTTTAACAAGTGACGAATTTTATAATCACAATTTAATCGCTACCAAATACTTTTCGTCATATTCTGGTTCGGGTATAGATTTTTTAGCCACATAACAGGAAATAATCTATCATATACTTACATTGTGGTTTTATAATTATTTGGTGATTGTAATATACCGAACACATCAACGTTTTTCTAATTATTGAAATAAGGGATACACATTGAACTTACAATTTATAAACATCGATAAAAGATGATCTATGTATTTACCTTAGAAGTGGAATAACTTTTATGCGATAATAATGTTGTTCACATTATCGATCTGTGCTCGTTAATGAACATAGGTATTATTTTTAATATGTAAAAAAGTTATAATTAACAAAATAAACATGGATGCATAAGTATATGAAACAGTATTGAAATATCTTTTTTTTTGCCAAATAATTTAGAAATGTCTGCTATGCCAAGGAGTCGAGTTTCGTGGAAGTGTTAAGATAACGTGTCCATTATGAATGATTTTCATCAAGGGTTTTTATTTACCAAGGAATTGATGCTTTTCTGTTATTTTTTGTTAAAAAACATTTATTTAGACGTTTATAGTAGTTGTATTAAGGCAAAGATGATAATAATAATATTAAACTTTTCCCCATGGACGTCGCTATCTAATGTTGTTATCCAGACAAAATAATGATACTTATCAACATCCGCTACATAAACATACCGTTTTATTAGAGAAGCGATAACACAGAACAAGCAAGAATAAAAAAATAATACTTCCATTTTATTACATATTACGTTCTATAAATACCTTAATTAAACTATTCAAAACAATTTCATATCCTTTTCATAAAAAATTAGGATAACAGAAGTTCTTTTTAATTTTTTTTTCCTCAGACATGTTTAATGGTTATAATTATGTATATATACATGAGAAGAACTCTTGTCCAAGGAAACCTCATTTATACCTATTTGCTGACGGTTCACTGAGCTTTTTAGTTTTCAGTGAGAAAAGCATATAGGTACATGCATACATTAGACATTTTTATATATATGAAGAAGAAGCAAACATACGAACTGGGCCAAGTTCATTAAAAAAATATATGTATCAGTCCCAGATTCGTAACCATCTGCCTTCAAAGAATAAATGTACCCTGAAATAGCCTTATGCAATAAAGGCGAGCTGTATGTAGGTGTTGGCTGCAATCGTTGAGATAATAAAGTATTATTTGTCCCCAATTTAGCTTTGCTTTTAATAATAAAATTTGAAAAAGGGGGTGAAATGGAAATTAAATCGCATATCTTGTCTTAAGATATAAAAAACAATTTAAAAAGGCCCCTATAGGTGATAAAAATCATTGTAATTGATTACGGGATGAAAACGAACTTCGAATATTAAATTTATTTTCTAGTTTTCAAATCGTATTTTCTCATGTAATTTTCGACAAGAAAAGAAAATGATTTAAAGCATTATTTTATTTTAATTTTGTATGTATGCAGTTATGTAACTACTCTGAACCAGCTATAATTCGATGTTCAGTTTACCAAGAAGCTAGCCAAACGTTTGAAGAATGTCAACCCCATGCCCATCGCTTGGTAAAGAAAAATGGACAAATTGAAATTGATGACCCGCATGATGTGCCTGTATCCAGAAATGAGGATTTTACCGTAGGGTAATTAAAATTTTATTGTCTTTCGATGTCGTATAAAAAGTTCTCTCTTTTTATTTTGTTAATTTAGATTTTACGGCATGGGAATAATCCACACTGCAAGAAAGCAGATTGTTGAAATACTAACTAATAAGAAATTATTATTAAAAAAGGAAGAAATAGCCAGGTCTGAAGGAAAAAAAAGAGATATAAATGCTGAAGAATTTCTGGAGGTATACTATATAAAGATTTTTTTTCAACTTCAGAATTGCTACAGTTAGTTGTTAAATATTATTTAATTTTAGGTCAAAAACGAAACTGAAGGGCTAATTAAAAATATTAATTTGAATATAGTCAGATTACGTTTTGATGCATTTACAGTGCGGGACGGAATTTATTATCCCATCTGTTCTCCGGTTTACTCTAAAAACATAAATAATTTGAGTAAGGACTTTAATTTTTTTTCTGTTATTATTTTGTATATAAACGGAGCACAGATTAAGTATTTAATTCTTTTAGAAAGTGCTCAAACATGCGATTTGAAAATTGTAAGAATGGATCACTGTACCAGTCCCTGTAGAGGCAACAGAGAAATTTTCATTTTGGTAGAAAAAGTGACCAAAAGTAAGTTCGAAACGATTGGTTTACTAACTAAGTGTTATTAACATCACAAGGTTATCAATCTGAAGACTGGTTGGATATGCACCTCTATCTATTATCCTGACCAAGTCTTTTAGTATCTCAAAAGCTAGAACATTTCACATCCTTAATCATTTGCCAACAGTAGCATCGATCATCTTCTGCCACCTTTTTACGTCAACTAGCCTTATTCTTCCACCATCCTATCTCTCTTTTTCCTTATTATGATGATTGAATAAAAATATAAAAACCAGTGTTAGAAGCAGTTGGGTAAAATTAAACATCAGAAATGGTATATTTCCTAAATTACTAGACAACAATGTTTGAAAAGTATTGTAGAGAATTAAATCCTATCTGTTTCTTCTGACACTTGTTCATGGTTTTTCTTATTTTTTGTTATTGAACATTTAAATATGTATGTATAAAAAAACAATTGGTTTTCAACAATTTATGGAAAATTAAATTTCGGAAATTCAAATTCAGTAATATTANAAACATAAGAAAAACGGCTTTACGCCCTTGCACATGGCTATATACGCTCAAAGTTATGGAATAGTTGATTTTCTTCTTGAACACAAGGATATAGAACTCCAAATTTTCGACTTCAAGGATTGCACTCCTTATAAATTGGCAGCGAACTTAAGAGACAACTCCAACATTAGTCAGAAAATATGCGAAAGAATCGAAAATTATATGGTAAATAAATATTTTGTACTCAATTCGTGCATGTTTTTTCTACATACTATAAAGTTTTAATTTAAAAACTGGAAATACGACAAAATAAACTCTTATTTTTTTTTTCAGAAAACATAAAAATTAGATTTTTTGAGTTGAACGAAGACGATGAGATGATTTGGGATGATTATGGCTCCTTCAATGATCTTGATGTTCACCATCAGTTTGCCATTGTGTTCAAGTAAGGTTTTTATCATTAATTTGTGGTTCGATATGTGTAAAATCTTAATTTTGTGTAGAACAAAAGCCCGTTAAAATTCGTTAAAAAAATAATTTAGCTGACTTAACGTCAACATATAGAAATAATTATTTAATTATCTATGTCACAGTACCTTTCATATTTTCCCCCTCCTTTTATAGTAAATACCGAATAAACATACCAGAAGTTTTGTTGTTCACGTATTGTTTGAGATTTGTTTCTCTCTTTTTTTTGTGATTTATATTACACAAATTCTCTTAATTGTCTTTCTTTTGTTGCTAAAGAACGCCACCTTATCGTGATTTAAACTGCGATCGTAACGTAAAAGTTTACATGGAACTCGTGCGTCCATCAGATGGAGCTCGTAGTGAACCTAAAGAATTCATTTACACTCCTTGCGACCCTATCACAGGCCGGAAGAGGCCCAGAACGACATATGGAAGCGGAAGCAGTTACAATTCGTTCGCTAGTGATGAAATAGCGTTGACCATTCCCGAAGACAACGTGGTACGAAGTGAAGAGCTCGAGGAGGCCCTCAAATATAGTAACATCTCATCCAGCGAAGTAGAGAGACTGTTCAACACTTTTGGACCCCAATACAGAATGATTGATTTCCCTAACTTTGAAGATGAAATAACAAATGCAGATGGAAAAGTATTTTTAGCATTAGATGCCGGTAATTCGTCAAGAAAGGATATATCAGACAGGTTAGTTAAAAATAAAATAATTGTGTGACTAAGTCAAATATAACAATTCTTTTTATTTTAATTCATGAAGTTTGTATTTTTAGAAATGTCATTATTTTTGAAACGGTTTCAACAGTACTCATTTTTTATTAAGCAAAACATAAAATTANACGTTATAGCGATAGTTGACGGTTTTAGTAAATATACAGTTTTAAAGGCGGTGAAGGATGCAAGTGCTGAGCCGACGATCATGTTTTGCAAGGAATTTATCTCACATTATGGACGTCCAGGGAAAATGATTTCAGATAGGGGAAGCGCGTTTGATTCAGGAAAATTTAAAAAGTTTTGTGAGAAATTAAACATTCAACACATAATGGTAGCTTCGCAAACACCACGCGCAAACGGACAGGTGGAGAAGGTAAATTCCGTAATTTTGTCTTGTTTATCGACGATTTGTAATGACACGGAATGTACAGATTGGGACGAGAAATTGTACGAAGTCCAGTGGGGAATAAACAATTCGGTTCATAGCGTCACGAAAAGAACACCTTTTAGTATCATTCATACGTATAGGAATTCGGGATTGTTCGGAAATCCATTGACGAAAGAAATTCAAGACATTAACAAAAAACTGGGGGGCTCGAAATTATTACCGGACGTAGAACTCTTATTAGACGCAAACAAAGAGAAACAAAGTAAACAGTACGATAAGCATAGGAGACCGGCTCATGTTTATAAACCGGGCGATATCGTATTAATTAGGAGCGAGATACCGTCTACCGGGACCAGTCGAAAATTATCGCCAAAGTATCGGGGCCCGTACGAAGTTGTAAAAAGCGTAGGAAACGATCGCTATCTTATTCAGGACATTGAGGGCGAAAAACAAAGTAGCCGAATATTTAAGGGAATAATCGCTGTTGACAGAATTAAATTGGTTTCCGACAAAAATGATAGTAGTGATATTGACGAGGACGTCAATTAGGTCAGGAATGGCCGAACTGTTGTATTTTTTTATGTAGTGAACTGTATTTCTTTTGTAATGTATTTATAGAGCAAGTGTTATTTAGTTTCCACTAATTACATTAACAAATATTGCATAAGCGGGCAGAAATTTTACCCTTAACTTTCTAAAAGAATATGAATATAACTTTAAAAATTCTCCATATTCTATCATTTAATACATTTGCTGTAATAGAATGTTCCAAATTTTTTTTTAGTCCATTCCACTTGGCTCTTTATGGTCAATCAAGGAAACTGCTTATACTTTTTATGCATTTGCTGAACGAGAATCCATCCCCTAGTATTATAAATGCTAGGAATCATTCAAGGGATTCTATATTGCATGTTGCCGTTGCAATGGGTGTACTCCCTGTTGTTAACTTCTTAGTGGCTCGGAATGCTAATTTAACGTTACAAAACGAAGATGGCAACACAGCGTTGCACCTTGCGGTTAAGTTACTAACCAACAGTTCAACCAGGAAACAAACCAGTGTCGCTATATTGAATTTATTATTGGTGAACGGGAACATCAACAGATTTATCGATCTTGAAAATAATGGTGAGGAGGTTCATATTTTTATCAGAAAATGTTGAGTGTTGTGCGCTTGAAAACTGTTTTTGTACTTTGAAACTGTCGAGAACGTCTAGAGTATGGGTCAACTTAATGTATTTCCTGTGCATTTCTGTTGTAATAATTCTTGCAATTATTATTACAGCTGGGGACTCAGCTCTAGCGACAGCAATTGAGTCGAAGAATTTAGATGTCGTTAAAAAGTTGTGTTTAAAAGGTGCTGATGTTAATAAAAAACATAAGAAAAACGGCTTTACGCCCTTGCACATGGCTATATACGCTCAAAGTTATGGAATAGTTGATTTTCTTCTTGAACACAAGGATATAGAACTCCAAATTTTCGACTTCAAGGATTGCACTCCTTATAAATTGGCAGCGAACTTAAGAGACAACTCCAACATTAGTCAGAAAATATGCGAAAGAATCGAAAATTATATGGTAAATAAATATTTTGTACTCAAATTTTAAATAATTCGTTTTAAAACGTTATCTACATCTAGTATTATCAACTTAAAGCTTAGGAAAAGTATTTTTATTCTCATCGTAAACGAAGTCCAAAATAAAAGGTAAAAATTTAAAGGTGAGATATTAGGATCGTGGATTTCGTAGCTTAACGATGTAGTAAACTTCCAATACAATTTTGTTTTAACGTACAGTCTTTAGATTAATAAGAACATAGACTAAAAGTTGACGATTACCTTTTAAAATTGTTCAAAACTGTCTACTTCTAGTAATAGCAATCTTACAATAATAAGTTGTTTACTCTTTTAGAGAATAAATGCTATCTCAGAAATGATTGAAGTGAAGGAGGAACTTTCGGATGATGAGGTAAGAAATTTTACATGTATTACAAATAGAAACATATACAAAGCAAAAATTATTGCATGTGGTCGTTACTTCATTAAGGCAAAAGATGTCAGTGTTTTTGATGTAAAACGGTAGAACTGAGGGTTGTCAGTCCAAATACTGGTTAGATACGCACCTTCTATTCCTTTTATCCTGAACTAATCATTTCATTTTCTAAAACTAGAACAACCTACGAATATCCTTCACCATTTATGAGCTGTAACCTTTTCTACATCTTCCTCTGCCTTTCCTTACTCCTATTTCTGCTTGTCATATGTCTATAATTAGCCCTTTATGTTTTAGGTCTTCTAATATCTCTCCTTTTTCTTGTTGACTCATAGTTTCCTCTGTTCTACTCTTTCAATACCTCCTCTTTTCTATCCATGGTATTTTCAACATCCGTCTATAACATTCATATGAAGCACTTGTAATTTTTTCTTTAATATAAATATCCACCGATTTTTCAATGTTGAGTTATCTTGACATCCTATATATTGAAACTTCGCGTTTTTCGTCTCCAATTTTTGTATTAGCTCTCCCTCCTCTTTAAGCTTTGGTTTTTTGTCCTCATGATAATATAATGACATTGGTTCCCATTGTCTTCTATTAGTTTTAATAATTAGATTCCTGTATTGAGTAATAAATAATTCAATTACTATAAGGAATGGTTCCATTTGTAAAATCTTTTTAATAGCTTTTAATTTTATATTTGTTCATTTTTAATTACACAGTCGATAAAAGTAGAGCCAATGTCTCCTAAAATTGACGACTTTGAAGATGATTATCCTTCGGATCCATTCAGTGTAAATTGTTTGAATGAAGTTTCAAAGTATCTTGATGAATCAGGCAATTGGAAAAATTTAGCCGAACTGCTAGACATGGAACATTTCGTAAGGATAGAAGATATCAGGAATTACAAAAGTCCTAGTAAAAGTCTCCTCAATATGGCTCTGGTAAGTCTTATGATTGTTTAATTAAATTTTAAGAACAATCGAAGTAAAGGTTTATTCTTTTAATTTTTAATTCGTAATTGGCTTATAAATTTTTAAAAAGAATCTTAACGGTATTTTAATTTAAGAAAACTTTTTTATTATACTATCTTTAAATGACTAATCAAGTCATGCAATTTAATTACAAACTTTGCTTTTTTGATTTACTTTATTGAGTAGATGAAAGTAAGCAAAACTTCAACAGTATGATTCATTATGTATGCACTAATTAGTTTTGAAATACTTGATACGATTCAGCATTNTACTGTGAAATATAGTATAATAGGTTGACTTAATTTTTTTCTTAACAGTTAATCAAGCCTTTAGGTTTTTAAGTGAAATAAAGTTTGTATGTATTATTACTCTTCGGTATATCGGCATAGTAAAAGAAAATTTAAAAATTAATTAATACACATACATTGTTCTTAAATTAGAGGTCAGTGTGAACAATTAATTAAGGAATCTTTTGCTTGTGACCGTTACATTACATTTTGAAAATACAATTTTAAGATAATTTTTTAACTTCAGGCCAATGGAGAAAGTCTGTCGCGAATTCGTGATTTTTTGGAGAATTTGGATGAAAAAGAAGCTGTACATGCTATTGATCAAATGTGCAAAAGAAACAGGGAACATTCTAGTATGTAATTGTTGTTCCTTTTAATTTTTTTTTATTGCGGTATTAAGTTTTCAATTATTTTAATTTTATTTTTCATAATGTAAATATAAATGTAAAATAAGTGTTATGATTTTGTTTGAACCATGAACCGATATTTCCTTGGAATGATCAATTGAAAATCTGGCCCCTCTAGGAAAAATCTTTTGTTACGCCCATGTTATATTCACAATCTGAACTCCAACCGGCCATAGGCGCGGTACAACTAGGAACAAAAAAAAAAAAATAGAAAAGGCATGTTCTTGAACTTTAAATAACTAAAAACCCAATACGTATTTCTATATTATTACTGAAAATAAATAGTTACGCGACTTTAAAGTAATTCAAAAAGAGTCATGACGTGCAATTGCTCTAAAAATATAAGTTAAATACCCTTTTAAGGCTTATACTTCTATTATTTAAAATAGACTAAAATTATTTAGCGTATTTGTTTTTGCAATAGTGATTTCCTTCTTGTTACAATTCATAGTATCCATGTATTAAAACATAAACATTTAGTTTAAAATTGATTGGTTGTACTGACGTTTAAAATTTCCTGTAATGTAGTTTAGTCAATTGTCGTAATATGGCGCCATATGTACCATAAAAGATTTAATATTTAATAGAATTTAATCTCTATAGTTGTCTGTAGGTCATCTGCAGATCACTGTAGATATTAATTGCTGTCAATGGTTCTTTTGAAATCTGTGAACTTGTTAGTGCTTGTTGATCGCGATATTTATACACATTTTATTTGTTTTGTGTTGGTTTTATAATTAAAAATTACATACAACGTGAGTAGTGTTGTTGGTGTAGCACTTTAGCTTTGTTAACTGATACGGTGTCAGCTAGTGCTAATTGTTATGACTTACGAACAAGTAAACTTATAATTACATTATATTAAATTCTACTACATTACTGGTGCTTCGTTTTAAAGAATGGAGATAGGAAAATGATGTTAATAAGGTAAGAAAATACCTTTTAAATCTTGCAGTTATTTATATATATATCTTTGCCAAGAGATTTACTAACAAGATCGCAACATCAATAATAATAAAAAAACTTAAGGAAATGAAATCAGTTTAAAGACTTATTATTAAGAATTTTGGCGACGTTGTATTGGGTTATTAAATAATTGCAAGTATGGAATATTTGCAAATATGATATACCTACCTACACAAAAATTTATTCGTTCCGAGTGCTGTGATTCAATTAGTCCATTAGTATTTAATACTTTAGTAATAAGAAAAAAACTTGTTGGTATTTTAGTCAATCAGTTCCCGAAGTTTTAAATTGCCTCCACGGTTCTGATTAAGACTACTTTTAATGATATGCCTGGAACTTTAAAAATAAATACAGTTTTCTTCAAAGATAAAGCTTGGTTGGAATTTTTCCGAAGTCAATAGTCTGATTTCACTAATTGTAAGCAAACTGCAAATGTTAAATTTCAACAGAACTATTTGAAATTTTAAAGAACATAATTTCCTGTAATATAGATTAATTTTTGGTCGTAAGATTGGACTGTATGTGCTTTTCTCTATTTATAAAATGTGCGTTTTTCTATTTATTGATAGGGTCGTACCCAAATTGTAATCAAGTTAGGTTGAGTCATTTTTGTGCATCTATATTTGCATGTTTCTCAATAATTTCGTTTTTAAGTTTCAACCAAACTATTGGAAATTTTAAAAATTATAATTCCCGCAACACAGTTTCATTTATGGTCGTAAGATAGCAGCGTATGTTAATTTCTTTATTAAAAAACTAAATTTTTTTATTTATTGACAGGGCCCTGCCCAGATTATGTAACCAAGATAAGTTCAAAATGTTCAGGTCGGGCTGAAAGTCGAATTTTTTACACTTATATTTACATATTTCACAGTACTTTGTAAACAATTTGNTATACATCCTTTAAAAAACTATAATGGCCGACATCAGTGACAATGCGACAACAATTGAAAAAGAATGATGGCCGACAACTGCAACAATTAGAAAATAATGATGGCCGACCTACGTCATAGTGGAGTAATAAAAATGGCCGAGGGTAAGGGGAAGAACTAGTTTAGAAAAGAAAAATAATGTAAATGCTTGTATAACAGAATATATGTATAAACACCTGACTAACGATAAGAGATATGAGAGTGGGAAAAATTATTCGGATTTAAATCACGATTATTTAAACAAATGCTAAAAGACAACTTTTTTTAGTCGGAACATTTTTTTTATTTTCTTTGGTTTAATCTCGATTAAAAACCTTCAATTTTTTTTTGTAAAAATTAATCCGAATAATTTTTCCCACTCTCTTATCTCTTATCGTTAGCCAGGTGTTTATACACATGTTCATGTTTAAAATACTTTTAATACAAAGTAGAAATCTTCCCGAAGTGAATTAGTTTTTAATATGAAATATTCTCAATTTTTACCCACTACACACTTCCTCAAACTATTTTGGCATCAGTGTCTTTTTTGCATTTAAAACAGGTAACATAACTTTCTTAATATTTTTATGTATCAGTATTTGCCGGAAGTCTTTTTTTTTCGGTGATGTCTTGGATGTTCTGTTCTCGATTAATTTTATCTTTTCTAGCAAAAATTTGGCACTTTAGAATTACATCTTCCTGTTACCTTATTGAAATAAGGGATTCTCTGGTTCTATTCGTAATGTATTATATATTGCGTCTTCAATGTTCCTGTTGGTATTTTTGCGTACCAGAACAGATTTACGAATTATCCCCTCAAGCCGCTACTGATGTATCAGTTATGCGATAAAATGCTTTAATAACCGACTTATTATATATTGAATAGAATTTCGATTTCTTGATGATACTGTAATGGTAATCTCTGAAGACCGATATTACCTTTGTGGCTCTTATGCCTCCTTGTAATCTCGTAAGTTGAAGCAATATTCTTACATAATAATAAACATTCTCCAAACCAATCTTTATTTGAAATGGGAAGGAAAATAATGACTCGTTTCCCTCCATTAGGGGTAGATTATGGGACGGTCGGTCTCATAGTGGTGAAAGTTGGGGGTAACAGGGTGAAGGGGTAGGGGGTGGGTGTAAAATTTGTTTTTTTTTTTAATTTAGTAAAAGTATAAATTGATAATTTTGAAGGTCTTATACGACATTTAACCATGCATTTTATGGTAATAAGGGAAACTTCAAACATTTTCATATTTAGCCTCCACTTTTTATCAATGGGGATGAAGTTCTTGGACCTCTCCCTATCCGCTCCAACTTCTACCACCCTGCCGAATAACAGTTTAAATTTATTATCACAAAAATTAAATAAAATAAAGTATAAAAAATTTATGAATTTTTTTATGTTTGTGTTTACGGTCCATAACAGGGAGGCCTCCGTCAGATTTCCCATAAATTACTAGTGCAGGTGGTTTAGATGTTATTGTTAGATATTATCTGCAATATAAAATGCTCTTATGTTCAGTTAAAATTAAATAAAATATACTTAGAAAATTAAAAATCCTTTAAATAATAAATATTGAATAGTAGTAGCGACAGCGCACGGTAATTTTATTGGATGATTAGAAAAGATTAGAAATAATGTGGACAAACATTTTTCACCATATATCCGTAACAGAAAATTTAAAAAAATATTTCCCAACATTTGTGACAGATTTATGGGAAAGGTTAATACACATAATAAACTAACAAATATATATATGTGTAAATAAACTTCTTAATTGCTTTACAAATTACCTCTGCGTATCTATTTATGTTTATGCGACTCTGATGTTACACTTTAGGTATGGAATAGTATTCATTTACTCATTTACTGTGATGAATAAATATTTATAAATTTTATAAAAACAAAGGAAATAAACGATATAAGTGTTTATTTGTTTCCGTTTAAGTATTTTTCTACAGCTTGATACACAGATAGTGCCTTTTCATACGCCTAGGATTGTACAGAGTACAGGGACGTAGTCAGCTTTTTTTTAATGGACCAAGAGTCAAGGGTGGTTCGCAACAACACAAATTTTATATTCTATACATCCGAAGACGCTTTCAGTTCTGACAATTCTATTTTTTTGTGTTTCTTAAATGTTTAAAAAAGCACATATCCTAAATACAAAGCAAAACTTCCTGCTGATAGATATGAAATAAGGGAAAATGGCGTTGTATCTATCTTGTGCATTAGTTTAAGTTATATCTACATAGTAATATAGAGGGTGTTAAATAGTCACAATGGGGAATCGCAAGACGAGTATAGCAGTGTCAAAGCGGGATCTATTTATATATGAGCTTTTTGGGCTGCAGCCCACAGCCCCATTTCAACGGGTAATAAATTGTGAATATTATTCTCAATAATTTCGTTTTTAAGTTTCAACCAAACTATTGGAAATTTTAAAAATTATAATTCCCGCAACACAGTTTCATTTATGGTCGTAAGATAGCAGCGTATGTTAATTTCTTTATTAAAAAACTAAATTTTTTTATTTATTGACAGGGCCCTGCCCAGATTATGTAACCAAGATAAGTTCAAAATGTTCAGGTCGGGCTGAAAGTCGAATTTTTTACACTTATATTTACATATTTCACAGTACTTTGTAAACAATTTGTCAATTTTGTTTCTAGTGAGTTAGAAACAGTAACATCTTATTTATCTATATCACATAGGATTTATAGAAACTAAAACTGCTTAGTATTCTGTTTTTAAGAGGGGCGCAACCGATTAACTAACTGTTGGATTTTATTTTTCCAACTCAAGTTTTACTCACACCCGTGAAAATATAGCTAATAAAAATTCAAATATTAATGTTTAATCAATTTAATTTAGTCCCACTACATATTACCTCAAGTTAATAAGGAAAAAATTTTTGTTGCTGCTATGACACCCTCGCCGGGAATCGAACCCGAAAAAGTTTCTTAAACTATTGATATTAATAAAATAAGTACCTAATACGATGGGTTAATATTATTAGTTACTTGAATTCGTCTGTTTTTGAGTTTCATCCACAAATTCACCAAATGTTTAGGTCAAGAGCATCGCAAACTACTTTTTCGCTATTTATCATTATTTGGGCATCACGTTTCTCCTCTTGAATAATGGACCTGGTTCAATTTT